GCCAAAATCAGCCAAAAGGCCATGGATGCTGCTCAGCTCTGACATAAATAACTGGGAGACTGCAAGCACTGAAGTGTATGTGGCTGCCTTGCTACAAACAGCTGGACTCTGACACATCCAGGGATGTGAGCAAATTTTCATTTTTTACTTTTCTCTTAGGTTGCTCTGTGTGTCTGCCTCCATCACAGGGTCATTTCAAGCAGCAGGACTGAGTTTAATTGTGTACAAACACCTGTACTTTTTCCATCAAGAAGCACACAAAAACGAATTCCCATAGAGGCAGGTAGGTACATGCACAAAATACATCACAGCCAAGCAGTCAAAGACTTTCTGGGTGCTGCCTCCCACTCTCTGCTGGCATGTGAGCTCCTGGCGCCTGTCATGTCCCCATCAGACCCAAGTGAGCTGCCTCTGACCATTCTGATTCACAGGGTGCTTTCTTTGTTGGCCTTTGGGGTTAAACAAGTACAGCAATTGCCTGTTTTGTGTGGGGAATGGTTGTTAGAGCAACTGGGAGGAATTCCTTGGCACCAACACAGGCTAAGAAAAGAATGAGCAGAAAAATGCTCAGCCAGAGTCAGTGCCAGGGCAGAGGCAGGGCGAGTGCTGGTGCCTCACCCTGACTCTCCCACCTGCAGCAGAGTGTCCTGGGCAGGGAAGCTGCTGGGAAAAGCCAGATCCACACCCTTCACTAACCTCTGTGCAGAGAGCCCACAGCACAGGCACCCCTGACACTGAGGTGCTCAGGAGAATCTAGCCCTGAGTTTTTACCCTTTTGTTCCTTCTGTAACTGAACATGCCCCACAACATCCAATATGAAATTTCTCTTATGCTTGGCTCATAGCTGCTTGCAGTACAACTTCAAAAATTAAATTGTGATAATGATTTTCAAATGGAAATAAACCTATTTTGGGGTCATTTTCACTGTGAAGCTTGGTTCAAAGGCACTGGAAAAAATGGCAGGGTGAGTAGTGAGCTGACAAGTAGTACAATTTTGGCAGGGCTTTAGGAACTTTATTTTTACATTACAGATGCTCTCCTTGCTCTAAACTGCTGCCTTCCCCATCTGACCCTTTTCCCCACCCAGCTGCACCTCATTCATAAAAAGATAATAACTTTGTTTGGATAGGCTTGCTGGCAAATTTACACAGCTCTCCATTTAGAGATCTGATTTCAGGTGAGGTGATTAAGGGTGATAAACAGAAAGAAAAGGAAGAAACAGAGGCAGTGGGGTGGTAGGGGTAGGGAAATGGAGCAGCAGAAGGTAGTGCCTGCTCTCTGCTCTTGTTTACACAAGGGCTTGAAACCTGCAGGATGGAACTGCCACGGTTTCACAGTGATGTGAGCCTGTCTGCAGGCACGGCAGCTGCTGCAGCAAGGGGCTGGGCCTTGGAAGGGAGGGCCAGGTGCTGTTAGTAATGGGTGTCAAGCTAAAAGACTTCTGTAAGAGTAATGTTCAGATCTGGAAAGCACAGAGCTATGTGAGTTTGGTCATTTCTTTTGTACATGAGCAAAACCACTTCTGACGTTTGAATTTCTGAACTGGGTTCTCATCAGAGCTCCAGTTCTATAGGGTTCTGCTTACAGACTGAGTTACTATCCATTTTGTAGCCTTGTAGCAGAATACCCCTCTCCTGCTTGGTCTAAAGGGTATGCTCTTCAAATTTGAGTACTTATGTCATATGGTTATAGTATTATTGCTTTGCCCAACAGTACATCTCTGTGTTTGGTCTTCCTTTCCCTGAATGATTCCACTTGATTTCCAAGTTCCTGACTGAAAAAAATCAAGCAAATGCATACTTTGGGATGAAATTCCCAATGGACTGTGCTGTTTTGTTAGTCTTGATATGATTTTATTAGAAGGAAATTGCTGAGCATTTGAGAACCTGGTTTCCACAGGCTTTCATGGTCCAAAGAAGTCAGCTCTTGGCCTGAAACTTTCCAGGCATAGTGCCAGACTTCACAAGCTCATAGATGGAAAAGGGGGCTGCCTCTATACCCTAGAAGACTTTCGTGACTCTCTATCTAAATTAGAGCATCCTTTATGCTGTTGTCATTCAGCCTACAACAACCTGCCTGAGATTAATGGGTAGCAAAAGCTTCTTGAAGTGATGTCAGTCATGTATCCTTCCAAGGCTATTGGTACCTTTTTGTTAAAAATCCTGACTGTGATTTCTGTTCCCTTTGTGCTGGCTGAGTACATATCAGGGCAGCTCCAATGTCAGCGATTCAAGCTTGGGAAGTCCCAGGGCAGAGTCAAGAAAAGCTAAGTGTACTGGTCCCTGCTGCATTTTGTCTAGCTGAAAATTGGTTTGGACTAAATGGCTTAAAAACGCAAACCCACAGCTGATTATGGTGTAAGATGCTGCTCTGCTGGAGGTTGCTGCCCACTCTTGCTGGCTGTGCTGGGTGTGTCAGCAGGTGCAGGACTCTGGAAGCCTGGAGGAGGCCGGAGGATGAGGCCTGAGGGAGTCACTGCACTGACACACTGTGGGTGTCTGCAGCCATGGTGTGACTGACCCACTGCCCAGGCACTCCTCCTGCAGACAGATCAGAGATGGGCTGCACTTCGTGGGGTACTGCAGTGTAAACACAATCACTGTCTGAGACAAATTCTAACCACCTTAATACTCTGTTGAGCGGAGTTTCTGGACAGTGTGGTTTGTGCATTTGGGGTTCACTTCCCAAAACAGAGTAGTACCTGAAATGCAGGTGTGGCCCCTGGGCTGGGGGACAGTGCCAGGGTGAGAAAGCTGAGCTTAGGAGAATCCATGCATCATCTTCTGCCTCTTTTCTAAAGAGCTGCATGTTCCTGAGGGCAATCACTGAGCTATGTGTGAGGCTGTGCCTTGCATTGCTTGCTGGTGCTGTAACAGCTGTTATGTCTCTGGTACACAGCAGTAAAGTCCATAAACCACAGATAAGCTCTCTCACACAGCACAAGTGCTAAGGGGGAGACAAGAACTGCAATGAAGACAAATCTGTTCATGTTTACAGCTGCTCAGGGTAACTATATTTGCACAAGCAAAAGGGATACTGGTCTGCCCTCTGCTCCACTAGCCTGTGAGTGCTGACTGCTCTGGTCTATATTGAGTCTGTGCAGCCTTGCTCTGAGTCTTGCAGCACATTTCAGGTTCTCCAGACCTTTCCTAGCCTGTCCATATGGATTAAAATGTGGCCAGTGTTTCTATGCATTAAAATTCCCTGGTTTGTCCCTTCACAGCCTTTTTAGTTTATGATGGCCAGAATGACCCCTCAGACTTTTTCCCATTTGCTGTCTGGTTTAGTCTCTGCTGCCCTCTGTGCCCTATGGCTGCTTGCTGTAACTCTGTGATTTTCTGCCTAGAAGGGCTTCTTTGCCCTTGGAGTCCTCAAGAAAGCTGATCTCCATGGCAAGCTGACCAATTCTATCCCAACAGAGGGAAATGTGTGTGTAGGCAGCAGATACTGGCATCCAGAAGAAGCAGATGCACCCTGTGAGCAAAGGCACTTTGCCACCCAGGAGGAGGAGGGCTGAAGGACCACTCATGAGCCCTCCTTGCTCTGTGCTGTGATCAACCTGCCTCTCACATGTGAGTGGGAGCAAAGCCAGTGCAGACCCAGCAGCATGTTTGTTATACCACGGGCGATGCCGTTCCTCCTTCCCAACATGCCCTCGCCATATGATGGATGTGTTGGAGGCTGGCCCAGCTCATTCTCTTGGGAATAGCCAGGGCAACTTCCCAGGCCATCAGGGGCCTTGCTGAGTTAAGTGAAATAGCAGTGTGTGGGACGGAAATAAGAGAGGCCCATAGTTTGGTGTTTACCCAGCATCCCACGTGGGCCTGTAAATGTGGAGGGCACAAAGCTCCTATATAGCAAGTGTTAACGTACAGCTGGTGGGAATGCTTCCAGCAGGGCAGCTTTCCACTGCAAATAAATAAATAAATGCTGGCATGGGGAGATTCTGACAACAGTCTAGACAGGAAAATATTGCTACAACCATAAGGTATTTCAGATGACTTCATAGAAACATTTCACCAAATATAAGTATGAGAAGCTGTTCAACTCAGTTCTTTTTCTTTTGAAAAAAGAGAAGTTTTGCACTCAGCTCCTAAACCTTAACGTGTCACAGCAGCTACTGCAAGCCCTATGACACTTAGCTGGGGTAGTCATTACTCAAACTTGTTAGCCTTAGATGTGTTGGTCCCACATTACCCTAGAGAATGTTTGTGACTCATGCTGTGGAAGTCTAGGTGTGGGATTTGGGACCTCCTAAGTGTCTGTACAATCTGATGCTTTATGGAGCTCCAATGTAAGGTATAGGACATGGATGATGTGGAGTTTGGCTGGGTATGTGGTTTGTTTGGTTTGGAAATTTTTTGGTTATTTGGCTTTGAGTTTTTTAAAATAAGATTTTGAAGGGAGGTAGAGGAAGGTATGTTATGTTTCTAGAGTCCTGTTTGGCAGTGTTCCACATTAGCAGAGACACAAAGAGTCTGTAATAGTGAATGGCTTGTTCAGTTATAGCTGAATTCATCTAGTCTCTTTCATGCTGAGAAATTACCTGGTTGTAATTTGTATGTTGTATCTGTGCCAGAGGCCAAAATGTTAGCAGGGAAGGACGTGTATTGGGAGAAGCAGTGGAAAAATTACAATGAGTCAACAAGGTTGAATTTAGGACTCCTCACAAGGGAAGCCTCGTTTATTAAGCAACTTGAACTCTCCCTGTGAGCTCATACGTGGAAAACAGGTTGAGCCATGTGGGAGGGTGTTGCCCTGTGGAATTTGTAGATAAGGATGCTTTATACCTGCGTGTGCCCGAGAGGCCAGTTACATTCTGCGGCTTCCAGAGGGAACGAGCCTCCAGAGGAGTACAGTTATTCCATTTTTCTTGCCGTGAGTTTATTGAAAAGAGCTTTTGTTTCTTCCTCTCCTCCCTATGCCTCCCTTCAAATCTCAGATTCCCAAACTTTGAGGTGTGATATGTGTGGTTTTCTTCGCCAACAGAGCCAGGTAACACTACTGAGACCGCAATGGCATGGTGGAAGGCCTGGGTAAGTAGAGGATATACTGACACTCTGGGGGTTTTTGGCACTGTAATAAGGTAACTTACAAGTTGTATCAGGCACTGTGTGGGAATTAACAGTTTCCTTTAAAAATCAGCAAGACCTTTTTACTGTTTTTCTGGCTATATATTAGCATTCAGCACTTCAAAAACATTGATGAAGGAGGGTGTTGATATGACTGCTGGCTGTAGGAGGAGGAGCAGACCCTATGTGTACCCTTAGCTGAGAGAGGTGCAGGGGGTGTGTGTGTCCCTGTGTTCATGCAGAGATGCTACCATGCAACAACAAAGTTACTCAGCTGAAGCTGTGGGCTCCTGCCTGCTCCCTTGTCCTGTGGCAGTGAGTTCAGGGTGCTGGCCTGTCCCCATTTTTGGTCCCCTGTTGTGCTGGCAGGCTGTGGTCACAGAGGCAGATACGGTCAAGCCACAATGTCTATCTTGAGTGGGTTTTTAATATTGCAACAATAACGTGTCTTGAACAGCCTGTCTCTTTGCCAGGAGCCAGAAATGCTGTGTATGTTCTCTTGTAAATGCTTGTGGCTCTGAGGGGAATGTGGCAGGATGGGAGAAGCTCATGGGCTGTGCTGAGGCAGCACCTGGGGTCTGGCTCAGACCAGGCAGCAGGTAGCCCTGGTGATGTGCCAGCTCCCCCATCAGCCTCTGTGGGAGGCCAGGTTGACTCCCAGGTCTCAAAATATTTTTTTCCCCAGAAAGATTCAAGTTGTAATCTTCCTTCTGAGTTTTCTCTGTCTCCCTGTTTCCTTTGGAAGTTTGGTATAATAAAATAGATGTTTATCTTGAGCTTGGAGTAGCTCTCATTTCATTTTTTCCCTTTTGGATTACCTATTGTCTTCTACCCCCAAGCTGGAAATAATTTGTAAATTATAGCAAGAAAAGAAGGAGAAAAACTCTTATACTCCAATGATCCAGTACCAGCTGGTGTTGTAGGGGGTGGAGGCATGAGAAGAAAATGAGAGGTCCAAAGAAGGATGGGGAAAATTTTTGGTTTTCTAAACCCTTCATTAAAAAATACAGTTCAAAAGCAGAAGGAATGAAAAAATGTGAAACTTTCTCAGAAAATATTGACTGAACAAAATGCAAACAGTAACCCAACCTGTCCCCAGATTCCAGTTTTTTAAAAAGAGTCTATCGTTTAGGTTTGAAAATATTTTGGTAGTAAAACTTTTATTCCTTCTTCCTTTTATTTATAGGTAAAACTTTTCACAGCATCAGCTGTAAGGTACACTGCTTCTGCTGCTTTCATGCCATTTTTTTATATTTACATGAGCACAAACGCCTTGAGTAGTTTCACTTACGGAATTGTAGGATTAATTCATCTGGGAAACAAGACCAAAGTGAGCAGGGATTCTCTGAAAAGCTGGTGCAATTGTACTTGTGCTGCAACAGCTATGTGCACAGAGAATGAGGTGCAGGAGTGAGTCACAAATGTGCTACTCAGCCAGGAAGGGCCGTAACTGTTTATCGGAATTCGTACCAAAAAAGATCATTGTTTAATTTGTTTCCACTGCCTCCAAATGAAAGCTCAGCTTTGTACTCCCTCTTTCACTGAGTCACCAGGCTTGCGTCCAGAATGTTTGGGGGTTTCTTCACAGGGCCCTTGCATGCAGCTGGAGAGGACTGGCCATCCTTTTCAAAGCAGACTCAGATGGATGAGTCTAACCCACTGCCCAGGGAAGCTGTGGTGGTGCTGGCCACCTTGGCAGAGGGCTAGAAAGGAGAACTTGAAATGGTCCTCCCAGCTCAGCCAAATTCTTCTTGGCCAATGACGAACTGTTGGAGGTGGCAGTGCCCCCTGCTCTGTCACTGCTGTTTTCTGCAGTAACAGCTTCTCCTCAGCCTTATATTCGCTGCTCGGTGACCACTGGGATTCCAAGCTGCATCTCTTGTGAAGTTTTCTGTTGACACCATTTGCTTCACAGCTGCTCTTTCGGCTGGGAGCAAGGTGTGGTGCTGCAGGGGTGTCTCTGTGCTGGCTGTAAAGCAAACTTTTCCAAGTCTGGCTGATTGCTGAACATTCTGCCTCTCTCAATACTCCTCACTGTCACTGCTCCATGCAAAGGTGACAGCTGTATCCACTGGTTCTCTTTCACATGGGAAGTAAGAGCAGAAGGGATTTGCATCATAGCAGGAGGCTGATGGGCAGCCCTTGGTGGTCCATGTTATGTAAGTCATGTGGGACAACCCTAATGCTTCCTTCTGATCCATAATCTCTGATCTCTTTTATCTCACTGTGAAACCATCCCCATTAAAATATTTATCAGGTCATACTGATACCTGATTAGTTTAATATTAACCCTGCCTCTAAAGGCAAATTTATGAGAATATGGTAGTTTCCGACTTAAATATCCTTGTTTCTGGGAAGGAGAAAATTGTGTTTATTATTGTAATAAAGTGATGATGACTCCTCATGCCTACCCACCCACATACTCCCCCTATTGACAGGACCAGCTTGTGATGGATATGACAATGTTTTCAAGCCAGTTCCTTGACTACCAGCTTTGTTAAATTTTGCCTGTGTTCTGGTTGATGGCCCTACTACCTTGTGGTGACTAAAGTAAGTCTCAGTGTGTCTTTTATGCCCTGGGACTGATACTGTTAGCACCTCAGGGTTTCGTTAGGAGGATTCTGGTGTAGTTGTATCTGATTCTTGGTACAGGGAAGAACATCAAACCTGCATTCCTCCAGATGGATCTCTTCCTTCAAAGTAGTCTTTTGCCCCAAATCCTTCCAGTGGAGATGCTCTCTTCTTGAAACCAGCTGTGCAGAAGTGCAGCAGCAGCTGCTGAAGAAAATGGTCTGTGAGAACATGACAATTTCAGGAATTGAAAAAGCTGTCTAAAAGCTACCCTGCACCAACCCACTGAGAAATGCAATATGGTACAGCAGCATCCATGCTGTGAAGGACTGTAATTAAGGGGTGAATAGGGAAGTCCAGTCTATTACAGTCTGTGCTTTTTCTGCCACTCTGCTTGACCTCACAATGCTTGCAGCACTGTCAGCCCTGCTTTGCACTTCATGTTCCTGCCAGCAAAGGCTGGTACAGGCAGGTGGCAACAGGAAACTTGCGCTCTCTTTGGAGAGAAACTTGTGTTCTCTTTTTGCTCTGCTGAGAAACTTCTGGCCAATCTCTCCTATTTTCTGTGACTTCACCATGTGTAGGCTGTAAATATCATTAATGTACATTTCCAATACTTTTCCTCCAGTTGATGAAAAGCAGTGGTGAAAAGTTGTTTATTTTTCTTCTTCTTTCAGAGTGAAGCAGAGGGCAGGTCTGTGGCTGGTACTTTACATTTTAATGCTGCACCTGATGCTCAGACTCTGTACAACGCCATGAAAGGGCTGGGTGAGTTGACTCCAACCACATATGTAAATTCTATGTTCTTATAATTGCTAAGTTGAAATCAATTCCTTAGAAAATTTGCATCCAGAGATATCACCTCTATTTTACTGTGAAAAACTAATATTAAAGTTTCCTTGGTATGTACTTAAACTTCTACACAGAGGCAGTGAACAAGACAAGGTTGTCTGAATATTCAGATTGGGATTTTGGACCAGTCTCAGCTTATTTTATGCACTGTATTTATGATTTATTGTTGCTTTCCCCAGGGACTGATGAACAAGCTATAATTGATGTCCTAACCAAGAGGAGCAATCTGCAGCGTCAAGAGATTGCCAAATCCTTCAAAGCACAGTTTGGAAAGGTTCTTCTAAAACAATGCCATATTCAATCACTGGTTTACTGCATGCAGGATGTAGTAAATGGGCGTACACTTCTTTCTGAAAGCATGATGCAAACTATATGCAGGTCTTCTGCAAATAAGTAGGCTAATATCTAATTATAAGGCCTGTGATTAATGTGTAAAATTAATGTTTGGCCAGGAAAAAATGTTTTTCTCCTAAAAATTCAATTTTTTAAAAATGCATTTTGACCAGAAATACTTTTTTAAAATCAGTCTTAATTTGAAGTGAAGCTTCTTATTGATTTGAAGCTGTAACAAAAATTGATACCCATCTAAGTGACACGTTGAGTAAAATATTGGTTTGTTTCAGGCCTTTTTAAATGTCAAAAAAGTTCAATTTAAAGACTTATTTAATTACACTTGTTTAGAAATTCCGTGGTTATCGACAACTATGTTTTCCTTTGTTTCTCTTTGTTTCTTCTTTTTAAATCTTACTTTTATTGGGAAAATCTTTTCACCAGCAGACTGTATACCTTCAGCCTTACTGTGAGCCTTCCTGGAAAGGGGACTGCCATGCAAAAGCCTAAGAAAGGGAAGCAAATATGGGGGTGGTGGGTATGGAACAATGATTAAATAGAGCCCTTGCATCCCACTAAAACAGAGAGAGTCATTCAACAGAGAGAGGAAAACCTGCACTATAGTCAGAGGGAAATTTGAAGTGTATCTTCAAGCAGACTGCAGTCCTGATTCTGCAGATGTCCTGGGTGCAAGTTTAGATGCAGTTTTGGGAATTTCTCTGTAGCTACACCCTTGCTCAGTGCAAGGCCTTCAGCTACCTGGTTCTGCTCTGTGAGTTAAGCAGGGTGGAGCAAGATTTGCTGCAGGATTAATTATTGGGAAAGCCCAAATATCAAGAAAACAGGGAATGTGTAAGCACCTAGACAAACCCCATTTTGGAGTTAGGTGCCTTTTTCAGTCTCAGGACCTTTTTTAATCAACTATCAGCAATGCTGTCATTCAGCTTCATTACTTGGGACATGGGGATGGAAGCAGCATGTGCAGCAGAATGATCCTGTGGGTCTGTTTATGTAACCATGTGATGATGCACTTTTGGCAGGATCTGATTGAAAGCCTGAAGTCTGAATTGAGTGGCAACTTTGAGAGGCTCATTGTAGCTCTCATGTACCCCCCATTCAAGTATGATGCCAAGGAACTGTATGATGCCATGAAGGTAAGCATGTTGCATGCTGATATTTAAGTAGTCGCACAAATACACTGCTAATTTCCTGCACTTGTGCAAGTGTTAATAACTGGACTGTTGCATGGCTAAGTTTGTTATTAGCAGTAGCCTTTGAGAAATACTTAATTGTACTATTAGTGTTCTGGGGGAAAATGCTGCTTAAATATTTATGACTATATGAAAGTTTCTATACATATGTGACTCAAGGAGCCTGGGAAGGCAACAACAAAACTGAATTCACACCCAAACCTGCTGCCCTGATGCCCCAGCTGAGCCCTGAGACCTTTCAGGGATCAAGGAGTGGTGGTGCAAGGGCCAGGCTGGGGTCGGCTGGGATCCTACCTATTGATAATGTATCTTTACAAGTTTCAGATACAGAGTGGTCTGTTAAAATGGTATAAAGATGGACTGACTACTAAGGACTGGTCTCCCTGCATTCCCTTAATGCTGTCTATTGTCAAAGATCTGACTCCAGAAAAGCACTGAGGAAATGTAGGGTTACATAAAGTCATCCTTTACAAATTAGGCACCTTGGTAAAAGAAACAGTGTGCAACCCAAATGTGTTTTGTGCCTCCAGCTTTCATCACGATGGTTTCTTACAGCTCAGCCTGACTTTGCTGCCATCCAACTCCTCCCTTCACCGTACTTGTCTAGCAGTAAATCATTTCCATGACTAGATGCCTGTCTCCACCTTTATTTCTCCACTGTTTTCTATTATAGGGCGTGGGAACAAGGGAAAGTGTTATCATAGAGATCCTGGCATCTCGGACAAAAGCGCAGATCAAGGAGATAATCAAGGCGTACAAAGAAGGTAAGTGCCCGGGGCTCAGATTTCTGTGGTCAGAGCTCAACAGGCAGGCGTTGCCAGCTAGCATTGTCAGCAAGAAAATGGCTTTTCTAAAAGCATTTAACTCTTGAAGCAATAAACTCTGCCTTCCGCTGGCAAACAGAACATGGCTATGCTGAGAGAATTTGAAAATACCTTTCTAGGTCTTCATCCAGCTGCAGCCAAGGATCAGCAAATTATGAATTTGGTTCAGTTTGGGTATAGAGTACTGTCAGAACATAGACAAAATGATAGCTGTGCACTTGGCGTTTCTCCCCATTAAATACATGGGAATTTATCAAATATGTATTTGTAAATATTTAATCTTGTTCATCCCTTCAGCTATACCTCTAAAATTAGCTCTGGGTTTATTGCTTGGACATTAGGGGAGCTGGTGGCTCAGCTGGATACAAATGCTGACCTGGGCATCACACAGGGTGTGAGCTGCTCTCAGACCTGTTTTTCTCCTTGGTGATCCTCTTGCCCAGTGTCAGGCTATTGTGTGGGCTTGGGTTACTGGTAATATCTTTACTGTATCACCTAAATAGATAACAAATCCTTCCCTTGTCCTTCTCTTTCCCTTGGGTAGCATATGGTTCTGATCTGGAGCAAGACATAAAATCGGAAACAAGCGGCTACTTGGAGCAGATTCTGGTTTGCCTTCTTCAGGTAATGCTTGAGAAGAGAAATGAGGGTATAAAGGTCTTCACATTGCTCTCTTCTTTTCTGGAGAAGACATGCAAGAGGAGAGCCAGTACAGTCATGATCACCAGATAAAGTGCAGAGACAACCATGTCACTTGGACTGGATCTGTTTCAGCTGTGATGTGACTGAAGCAGGGGAATCTCTCTCCCTCAGCAGCAGTGAGAGAGCTGGGAACTCACAGCCAGCTCTCCTGCAGAGACACATCACTTTCACCTGTGTGTAAAGCCACTGTACTCTGCAAGGGTCTTAAAAAACAGTGCCACTCCACCTGGATTCACCACTTTTCCAGGACCTGTGCCCTCAGTGCCTGAGTGCATTTACCTTACCACATTTTTGGAATTTTCCTGCCTGGTAGCAGAATAACTGAACAATTTTTTTACTCTGCTTCGTATGACTGATTTCAGCGCCTTTCAGTGAAGGAGTTAGCACTCATACTGTCTGAAATATTACTGCTTGATTACTCTACAGGAATAGATAACTGAGAGGATAATTGATCTTTGATCAGAATGAATGCTCTGATCCTTATTTATGGAAGAATCTTCATGAGACATAATTGTAACCCTTTTTCTGCTCACAGGGTGAGAGGGACAATGCCACCCTCTATGTGGACACAGCCCTGGCTCTTCAGGATGCAGAGGTACTCTCAAATACCTGAAATCCCTGATATGCCTGCATTCCCACCTTCTTGAATACCAGAGTGCTTCAGTGTCAGCAGAGGGTTGGAGTCACAGTAATTTGGGGTGGGGTTATCTTTAAGTAACTTGGGGTTTTTCAATTTTGCCTGCACTGCTGAGCTCTGCCATTCCAAAGAGGGGTGATGAGGCCTGGGCTTTGGTTCATCTGCTTTTGATATGGCTATGGTGGAGTGGAAGAGCAGAGAAAAGGGAGAAAACCTTAAGTGTATTGCTGGCTGTTCCAGCTGCTGCAGGAGGGGTAGAAAGGATGGAGACAGTGGATGTTCCATTTGTCTGGAAGATAGAAAGTTTTTCATAACCAGCCCTTCTGGAGTCTGGTTCACACGGTGGTTTGGGTTACTCCAAACCCCTTTACCCCAGCCATGCCTTCAGCCAAACTCTGTTCCTTTAGCAGCTGCACACACAGAACAGCTCACTAATAGTTGTGTGCTAATTCCAGGCTCTCTATGCTGCTGGAGAGAAGATTCGGGGCACTGATGAGATCCAGTTCATCACCATCCTGTGCAAAAGGAGTGCCACACACCTAATGAAAGGTAAGGAGCAGAGCCCACATTGCCACCACTACACCCCCAAGCCTCCAAAATCACAAATCACGCTAGCCAAGAAGAGGAGAGGCTATAGATGAGAGACATGAGTGGCCAGAAATAAGTACCTGAGCCTGTTTTCTAATTCCTGGTCACCCAGTAAACAAAAGCTGCCGGCAGATTTTGTGAAAGGTTATGAAGATTTAGTTCTGCTGAAAATCAGTTGGCTTTTCCAGGAGCCCCTATACAGTGGTGATAACCGGATAGTTGTTTTTATAAATTCAAGAGGTGACTGAGTACTGTCCTAATTAAGTAGGAGCGTGTGGTGAACAGACAGGTCCCCTTGGATGTGGGTTCCTCTGGGGGAAAAAACAAATCACTAAAAAACTAAGTGATTATTCAGTGCTGGAGAATGACAGGGTGCAGCCTGCATTTCTGCCCCAGGTCCTTTTGAGGGCATCAGAGGCTGCTGGGAGGGAGGACACAAGCCCTGCTCCAGCTGAGACCTCAGCTCCCCACTGTCCATGCAGCAGAGACCAAACCTTGTCTTCTCAATGCTTTTCAGGCATAACAGATTTTGTTATGTTGGCTGAATCTAAGCATATCAAGTACTGTGTGAATCAGGTGGACCTAAAACTGATAAATTTAGCCGAAGATAAACGAGATATGCCTGAGCTTTTTTTAAGTTGAGGTCCTCTGCAGCTGTTTCTATGCCCTGGAAGCCAGCTCCCCCTTGTGTTTCAAATTCAATCTCTCAAGGTCACTTAAAAAATAAACAAGACAAACAAAAATAGGTGGTCTCTATAGTATTTGTCTGTATCTGTCTTTAAGAATAGAGTTTCATCTTGTTGTGATAATGCAACCAGTCTTTTGAACCTACTGTGGCACTAAGCAATTTCTTCTGTACCTATTTGTCATTAAGATCTCAGTGTAATTATTGCAGTTTTTTAAATTTGTTTTTAATAGAAAGAGTTGTTTGACTTGAGAAGTTTGTATCCATCTATCTATTCTGTATTCCATTTCCCCAAAGTGTCTTGAGTGTTGACGATATCGGGTGCTGAGCAAAGTTTCTTAAGATGTCTATTGCATTACACAGCAGTTTTCCTTCTTTGTTAGTCCTAGAAAGCTAGGAGTAAAAACAGATATCTGTGTTTCTGAGCCTTGGAGTATCCAAAATGTATAAGGCAAGCAATGACCTTGTTGCTGAGCATTTGTTACTGTAGGAACTCAAATATCTTGGAATCTGCAGCTGTATTTTACTCATCTTTTCTCAGTTGTTTTTATTTTAAATTGTGGTTGAAATAATAAGTTTACCCAAATGGTTTTGTCATAATTTTAAAGTCCATTGGCTGTGAACTGCACAGGGAATTAAGAATCATGAATGCTTTGGCTTTTTGTAAATGTTAACATCCATCTTTGTGGCTGATTACTGATGTTGACTAAAACCTCCTGAAGCTGGTGCAAATGTGGCCATTGCTTTTGCAGGATCTGTGTATTTATATTGCCACACAAGTAATGCCTGTAAATATTGTACACAAAAGGCCTTGAGGGTTACTTGGTAAAAAATATAAGTTCTTTGTGTTTCAAACAGTGTTTGAAGAATACCAGAAGCTGGCTGGTAAGAGCATAGAAGACTCTATCAAGAGTGAAACTCGTGGTTCACTTGAGGATGCCATGCTGGCTATTGGTAAGTGGTGACCTTTCCCTTTGCTTTGGCAGAGTCTGCTGCCTTTTCTTCTGCAGTAGTTGACTTATATTAGACGGATCTGCTTTATAAAGGTGTCTGGTATGAAGTAAGGGGTACCTCCTGGATAAGATAAACTCAGATTCCAGGAGCACAGTGAATTAATGGGAAGCATGAAGGATCTCAGTCACCTCCTGCCCTGGGCTGGAATTACCATTGATTCTTACTGAGCTTTTTTGTATGCCTAGTGAAATGCACCAGGAACATCCGTTGCTACTTTGCAGAAAGGCTGTACAATGCTTTAAAGGTAAGACTCTCCATTGCAACACACTGGTTTTCATTCAGACTTAACTTGTAGCCTGACTTCCACCAATTCAAACTAGAAGAGCCAAGGTTTTGGTGAAATTCAGCACGTTTAGTGCAATTGTTGCAAAATATTCTGCAAGAAATAGCAGAATCCTTTCAAACACCTTGAGTAGAACAGTACCCTTTAAACTCAAGATAAAAGGGGAGTCTGGCTTTTCTGGCTTAGGAGTCTGCAGGGAGCCCAGCCTCACTTTCTGGAACACAGACAAAAGAGGCTTTTCTGGGAGGTTGTTTATGGGGAAGACTTGCCTTCCATTTAAATAGACTGGAACACAGTATTTTCTTTTTAGGAAGCAATTCTCTCAATGGCAGTATAAAATGAGATTTTCAAATGGGGACACATAAGGTATTTGCAGACTGTGCCCCTGTAATACTTAACTGGTATGTACAAGATGTCAGCTCTCCAAACCTTTTGGAAAGCTGAGATTACATTTTTGTTATCCATGTAACTTTAATTTTCCTGTGAGTGATTAAACAATATTGGCTAAAGCCAAACAGTGCCTGGGTGATTCTGCAGAGGGACAGTCTGTATTCAGTGCCAGCTCCCACCTCTGTAGCGTGTTTGCTTTTGCATTTGACATGTGCAAAACTTGTGCACACCTCCACGGTGGGTTTGTGGTGTTGGCATGGTCCCTGGGAGGGGTGTGAGGGTGGGCCCTCCAGAAAGAGATGCAGATGTTCCACAGGAGAGGTGCCAAGTGGTGTTTGAAAGCTGACTCCTCCTGCCCTGGACTAGTTTGTACAGCTTGTCCCTTGAACAGCCAGTAGCATCACAGACTGCTGTATCTGTTGTTCCAGGGGGCTGGCACCGATGATGGGACTCTGATAAGGGTGCTTGTTTCTCGAAGTGAAGTTGACCTAAATCTTATCAAGCCTGAATTCCAGCGCATTGCAGGAAAGCCTCTCTCCACTATGATTTCGGTAAGCAGAATCTTGGTATGATGTTCGCAGCCATTGCATGTATTCCTAATCTTTCCAGCACTGTGGGATGCTTCCGTGGTTGTTTGCAGTAACAATTTAATTTCTGCTATGGTCATGTCTCTCCTTCACTAGGCCTGTTAAAAGCCATGTCCTTGAGAGACACCTGTGTCTGAAAGGTGAGTCAGACCGTATGCTCTCTGTAAGGACTTGGACAAAGCAAACCCAAGGATATACTGCACTAGGATTTTCATGGACCAGTCTTTGTATCCATGCACTGCATGACATTCTAGATGAATCTAAATTAAATTAATCATTTCTGTTATACCTATCCCACACTGCTGTGTCATTTTCTCCTCTCTCTCTCTCTGCCATCCTTAACTACCTCAAGCCAGTGCCATCCATATGCATCAAAATAATGCTGGGGTATTTTTTTCCTTTTCCTTTTCCTTTTCCTTTTCCTTTTCCTTTTCCTTTTCCTTTTCCTTTTCCTTTTCCTTTTCCTCTTCCCTTGTTTGAAGGGGTTTTGCTGCCTTATCCCAGGTGAAAGCCTTGTCTACACTGTGATGAGACCAGTTCAGAAACTGAACCTTGTCAAGGCTTATTGTAGCATTTGAGTTTCAGCTCCGAGTGAATGTGCCTCCCCTGTTAGTGCTGAAATGCTGTTTTTTACCATTTGTCCCCAGGACTTTGGGACATTCCTTTGCCCCTGTGCAAATGGCACAAAAGCCCTGTCCTCAGCAGTCCCTATGGGAAAGTCTGGGTCTATAATGAAGGGCCCTTCTTATAATTGACATTATCAGTGTCTGTCATGTTGATTAATGATCAGCCTTCAAGGGTCTGTACAGAATATTCATTCCTTCTGAGAAGTGGAACTAGCTTTACACCTGTCACCACAAAGCATTCAAAGGGAGGAAATTTTCTTTACCTAGTGAATATTTTGTGTAGTGCTTCTAGACCAAAATGACCACATTTGTGGCTTTTTTAAAAATGCCATGTATCAGGGCTAACTATATAACTGCCTTTTCCCTTCCTGTAGGGAAGAGGTGCTACATAAACACCCAGGGACAAAAAATCTGAACACAACAGATTTGCTTGCTGTCATTTGTGCTGACTTTGTGCTGCTCTGTGGGACAGAACCTTGATCAATTGCTCACCTGCATTCCAAAGGAAAAATTTGGCTTGATGAATGTTATTTCAGGTGGTAGCTACAAGCCCCATTTCTCTGTTCACTTTTGATGGTGTGTCAGCTGGCAGCAGCTCTGCTGAGGTCTGCCTTGCTCTTTCCAAAGTCCTTTTCCTGTGTGGGCATATCCCACAGACTGACACCGTCAGCACTTGGAGCGTGCAGAGGAACTTCCCTACTCACCTATATTTTAATGTTTTCTCCTGTCAGGAGGACACCAGCGGCGATTACAAGACAGCCTTGATGAATCTCTGTGGCAGTGACTGACAGACTCTAGGAGGAAGATGTTGAAAAGGATACAGAGAGAAGATTAACAGTGAACAAGGGTCTGAAAATGTACTTGTAGAAAATCTTTCCATTGATCCAAGTGGGGGTGAAAAGAAGATCAAATTAATGGCTGAGATTTCCAAAGCTCTCTGAGGGATGTGGATGTCCATTACACACTGAATGCTATCCACTTCCCAAGCACAGGGGGGAATGTCAATTTCTTGTTTCCATTTTCTTCTTTGAAGTTTTCTTTGTATTTTAACCTATGGTGAAGGATGGCACTTGACATGGAATTAAAGGTTCTTTTAAATCCTCTATAGCTCTTTCACAAGTCTGAACAACCCTACAAAGCTTGGCATGCCCTGAAGCCATGCTGATTTCACCAGGACCAGCTGGTAGAGCAAGGCTGTTGGATGCTTGAAGGATGGGTCTGGAAGGAGTCCCAGATATTAATGAGGATTTAGGACACGGGTCAGAACAGAGAACTTAGTGCCAGAGGCAGTAGTTTGGCAGCCTTATCTAGATAACTTCACAGGGAGCTCCCCAAGGAGCAGTGAATGGCAGAGCCAAGTTGGCTGCTGCAAGCATGTGAAAGTTGAAGGCTGTGTGCCTGATTTCCTTCTTGCTTGTCTGTTGGGGAAGAGCAGCAAGTTCAGGTCCCCACATCAATGTCAGACCAATCAAAACTGGCGTGGATGATTTGGTTTTGGTGAATACAGGGTACCCTGCCCATGGGAGCAGACCTGTTTCTGCTTCTAGTGTCACAGCAACTTCTCAGCAGTCAGTGGACTCCCTCCAAAATTGCCTCCAACCCCCATGACTGCACCACCAGGGGCCTGAGTGAAGCCCCAGATGTGGACAGTGGTACAGAGAGAACAGTCTGAGAAGTTTGGGTCTGCCTTGACCATTGGTTCTCCACACCTAAACCAGTCCTTTAAATGTGTAGTTACAAAAAGGCTTTCAGTAAATGTGTTCAGTAAAGGAGCTTTTCTGATCCAGTGAGTGAACTTTTTGGCTGAGGAGTGCTCCCTTCCTCCTCGCACTGCTGAGATTATCAGGAGTGCTATGCGAGTGGCAAGTTCAAAAGGTCTTGGTGAGTCCAGGACACAGACCAGGTTCTGGGTCAGGGTATCAACACATCTCAAATGAACACAGAGAGGAGGAGGTTTCAGTCCTCGCCCTTTTAAGTGATTGTCTTTTCAGTGATATCCCAGTTTCTTGCCTGGTTTCTGGCTGAGCATCAAGGTGGGGGGTTCTTCTCCCAGTTTTTGAGGGACATGGGCCAGCTGTGGGCACCAAGGGACGGGGACTCGCATGTCCCTTCTGCTGTTCTCACTTGGTTTTTTGCAGTCACTTGTTCTAATTGACACCGATGATGGGGTGTCAGTTTGGGGGTTTCGCTTTGGTTTGGGGTTTTTGAGCCTGTTGGGACTTGCGATGTCTGCGGGAGCTGCGGCCGCGGTGAAAGCCGCGCTTACACCCCCACCTGCTGGGGACCGCCTGCGCGAACCCGGCGGCGGCACCACCGGGCACCCGGGCATCCCGGGGTACCCCGGGGTTTCCCAAGTATCCCGGGGCACCCTGGGCATCCCGGGGCACCCCGAGCATCCCAGGGCATCCCGGGGTACTCCGAGCATCCCGGGGCAGCCTGGGCATCCCGGGGCTTTCCGAGCATCTCAGGGCATCCCGGGGTACTCCGAGCATCCCGGGGCACACCGAGCATCCCGGAGCAGCCCGGGCACGGCCTCCGGGGAGCCAGGAGGAGCGGGCGGGATTTGCCCCTGCCCCGTTCTGCAGAGCCGGACCCGCAGGGCTGCGCTCCCTGTCCCTTGCAGCCATCCCAGGGCTCTCAGCCCGCAGCCCCCGGCACGGCCACGGGCTCTGCAGCGAGGCACTGCTCCGGCCAGAGCCGTGCCAGGAGGTTTTACTGAAGGCATGACCCATTCTGGTGTGTGGGCGGTATTAACTTGGAAAGCCCAGATAGGAATTTGTGCCTGCCTGAGCAGGAAACAGGAGTGACTTACCCTGCTGCACCATAACATCTCTGTTTCCTGGAGCTGGACAGGCAGCAAGTGAAAAGCAATCCCAGCTTTGAGGGGCCTAAACTCTGACTAGGGAAGCCTAATGAAAGCTCAGCTCTTGAAGAGTGTTTTAGTTCAGAGTTGTGTGATGATTTCACTCAAACATTTGTGTTTATGTTGCCCCAGAGCTCCCGTTGTTCTTATTGTTAGCACCCTACTCAGGTCAGAGGTTGGCTTTTCTTCTTGGCCTGTGCTTAGCACAGTGGGTGTGGATTAGAGCTGTTTCACTGTGATTGTGATCCCAATTTATTAATAACAGCCTGGGAGATGTAAAGTGAGTTGCCAGAATGCTCACAGGAGATCAGTAGTAAAGCTGGAAAGAGGAACAACCAGGGGAAGCTGATTCTATCACTGTAATTGCTGGGAAACAAAACAATTGTAAAACATCAATGAAGATTTAATTACATATTGATTGCTGCTAAAATGTTCCCCGGGTGAACAGGTGCTTTAATAAATCAGGATCAATTCCTAAGCTGTTCTAACCAGTCTTTTCTAAGTGCAAATATTGACTTAGGGCCTTTCTATTCATTCACAGTTTTATTAACATGATTTTATTGCACAAAAACCAAGATAAAAGCTTGGCAAGGAAAAAGTAACGGGCAATGTAAAAAATGCTCAGGACTGGTGCAGGCTTTCTGCTGCCTGTTTTCAGCCTTTTTCTTCCTCCTGTGCTCCAGAAATACCCATGTGCAGGGAGTCTCCAGGGACAGCACTAATGCCACTTTGCTGTGCTCTCCTGTGTCCTCAGACAGGGGGACAGCACACAGCACACAGCAGGACTGTGCTGCAGCCTCGGGGCTGTGGGTACATAGCTCAGCTCACACCCAGGTGTGCCTAGGGATGGCTGTCTCCAACTGTTAGCTCTGCTCCTGCGACCTGGAAAACTAACAGGAGTCTGTTCCAGACAGGATGCTGAAGCACATACTTCGTGTTTAACCCCTGAGAATTTCTGTTCCAGAGAAAATTGACCTCATTTAGTCTTACTCAATTCTCCCAGAAACCCAGAGCAGATGTGACCTGAAGCCCAGGAGGCCAGCACAGGCAAGCAAAGGCCCTGCTTCTTAAGAGGCATGTCATCACTGTGACTTCTGGAGAGAAGATTGGATTGGTTTGGCTTCACTTGTATTTCTATTTTGCAACAGTTTGGAGTAATTTTTGGATAAAAAAATGTTGGAGTGTTCAAACTGGGGTTAAAAGAACATTGTTCCTGTCAGGAAGTGGAAGATGTGAATAGCAGATACCTTAGTCAGGCCGAGTGGGAGATCTCTTTACCATCTCCTCATGTTAAGGAAAGTGTTTCAAGAGCAGGAAATAATCTGAGAGGGATGTTCAGTCTTCCTTTTTCCCTGCGGTTTGCTCAGCAGCACGCAGAGGGAGCCCTGGCTGCTGGGAGGGGCTCCGGCCGGAGCCTTGCCTGAGGCACCGGGGCTGACTCTGGGGCATCTTCAGGCTGCCATGCCCTGCCAGCCCTTCTCTGGGAGCTGAGGGTGGGGTGGACAAAACCCAGCACAGTGTGAGGCCCGGGAAGGGAAGGTGGGCTGTGATAGCAGGGATGACTATCAAACCACGGCTATGGTTTGTTCTAGGGTGGGCTGAAGGGAGGCTCAAGGCAGAGCACCCTCACTGCTGGGCAAATGGGAGCCCTCCTGAATGGAAACTGCTGGTTATTATTTATTCTTAAATTAATAAATTAATGGTGAATTAATGTTGATGTATTAATGTAAAACGCGGTTTTTAAATACTGCTTGCCACAGATATCCAGATGGGATAATGAAGTGTCCTGGTGTCATGGCTCATTGGCTGGCTATCCTGAAGCAGCCTGGTGGCCATCTAATCATAAAATATACACCTTCCTCAGGGATTACTGTGTGGAATCTCCTTTGCTGGGAAGATAGCAATCTGTAAGATGCTAAGATGGGAGTATGCCAAAGACCTGTCAGTCTTTCCTTCATCTTCTGCCCCGAGCCCAAATGCCTGAGCTGACTCCAAAGACTCTTCACTTGTTTAGTGTCTGGGGTCAATAACTGCAGAACATCCTCATGCCTGGGATGCTGCAGCACCAAGAGATGTTTTGTTTGACACAGTGCAGCAAGCTCTTCTCCTCAGACCACATGCAAACAAGGTCACTCCAATTCCCATCTCTCTCCTCACTGCAAACATTACTGGCCTTGCAAGTAATTATTGTTCAGTCTTCTGGTGTCATATATTTGAACCCAAAGAACTCATCTCTGACATTCCAAGAAATTGCCAGTAGTTTTTGTTGTTCACTAAAAACTTTATGTTAGGCTGCAGAAAAGAATTAATAATTTGGGGTTTGTACCTCATTATCCTTTGAGAAGACAGAAGGAGCCAATCCTGAGGACCTGGGCTCTGTTTGGAAGTATTGCTTGTTCAAGCTGTGTTTCTGTTTCCGCAACATTTCCTGTTACAAATCTCAGTCAGCCATGGTGTGTTGGTATCATGCCTTGGACTTGTTGGAGGGTCAGAGTTGGCATTTCTGACTGAAAGGTGTGTGCCCAGCAATTAAGAGTGTCACTGTATGGGAATTCGAAGTTCACAGGGACTTCATCCCATAATACTTTGCATTATCCCAGTTGCAAATAAATACTTACGGTGATAATTTTCTGTGATATAGAAGTCATATGATACATCCAAGTATAGTCCTGAGAAACCTTTTCTGCATTTCTGGCTAGACAAAAGTACTTATTACAAAAGAAACACAGATGTCTGTAGGTTCTGTACATGCAGGAACTTAACATTTGGAGAAATAAATAGCTCTGGATCACACAGAGGAACCAGTTCTGTTCTTTCTGTGGTAATGAAGAACAGGATATGTTGTAGGCACAATATTATTAATAAATAGTGAGCAATGCAATATGAATCTGTAATTCAATTTAGGATTTCAGCTGAAAATGCTCT